CTCCGGTTAGTGTGTATAAAGGCTACTCCATGCCAAAGGACACAGAGGAATATCTTCTATCTTGTGGGCTTAAACATGCACTTTATTCTATCAGAGCTGCAGATCTGACCGAAGGTCTCTTTGGGACTCTAGTACCATGCCCTTTTCAGGTCAGACATTGTACTAATTTGTGTGCAAAAGCTGTCTATTTATCTTTTATGCGTAAGGTATTTCATCTCAAAACTTTTAGACAAAGGCAGACCTTATTCAGAGTACCATTCTCTTTCCAGGATGACACACAAGATTTGCAAAACAAAAATAAAAAGGAAAAAAGGAGATAGTTAAATTTGTCAATCTGATCCAAATTTTGACCTGTGGATCCGATTGTGAGGTTGATGCAAGAAAATAACATGTTTGTTCATTGTGAAAACTACTTGATTACTAAAAACTCTCCTTTCCACTTATGATAGCATTCATACCACCTATCGAAAAGAATCCTAAAATAGAGACAAAACCAAAAGAAAAGATAGAATCCTGATGTATTGATTGCAACACATCTTTGGAAGTAAAACCATGATTCTCTGGCTGATTTTGTCGCATAGAGAAAAAGTTTAACGCTTGCTGTCATTAGCAGAGTTGGTGAAGTCTCACCATGTTGTTTGCATTGGAATACTCTAAATTTAAAACTCAATTTCTGCCTTTATGATACAGAAGGGATGAAGACTTATCTCCTCAGGTCCTCACAGATCCCCTATTTAAGGAAAAGATTACAAATTTTGTGCTGTTCCCGTACTATATGAAGAAATGGTACAGGGAGTAAGTGTGAGCTTCTGTAAATTACATTATACATGGTACACTACGGATACCACAGTGCTATTCTTCTGCATAGCCAATATTATCGAAGATCATCTCTAAATGCAGCTGATTCAATAATTATTTTGTACTCGATATAAGTTAAATTTCGTACTTATTGATGTGAATACTCTTGTTTAGTAGTACTTATGAAGATTGCTGAAAGATGCTTACATCTCTCTAATTTGCTATATTATTTTACTCTCTCCTCTGTATCTATTCTCCCTTTTCTTCTTCCCAGCACTGTTCGTGATAACAAGTCCATATCGAACAAGCTGACTGTAATAGTAAAGTATGTGATGACCATTTACCAGAAATGGCACATCTTTGCCGTTTCCTCTTTTTTCTTTTGAATTGGTCATACAAGTTTATTAGCACTAAATCTTTTGCAGCAGCCATCTTCTTCCAAAGGTGGAGCGTCTGAGCATATGCCAAAGAAGAGGTCACAGGAAGCAATGTGGTCAGAATATACGGTAAGTTAGGACTTTACTAGGTTATTGTAAGTCGGTCGGTGTTTGCAGCAGTTGCTTTTGAAGCATATCTCATTCTTGTACCACAGAGTGAGAGTTAACTTAATGTGCCAACAGTTTTTGGTTATCCAAGGAAGTGAGTACATTCTTTTGTTTGCACCTCTCTGGATATAAAGGCTGATTATAACACTTGGGGTTTGTTTGCTGAATGTTCGTTAAGATGCCATAATCAATGGTCTTACAACTTACACGAGAAATCTACTTATTCAGCTGGAAGGCATTTTCCTTTCCTAAAGTAGATCTGCATTTTCAATTTGAAAATTTCATACTAATCCATTGTGAGTGAACTATCATTGTTTATCTATTATGTCTCGGTAGCTCTTTTTTGTAGACAATGATTATCTAATGAGGTTGAAAGTCTCCCATAAAGCACCTATTGATGAGCTAGATGTATTTAAACGGAATAGTAGTAATTTGTTAATAGGTTTCTGCAGCTGGTGTAGTAATATCTCGATATAGCAGTAGCAGTAGTAATTTGTCTACTGGTCTCCACAACTGTTGTATTTGTGTGAACAAACATAAAAATAGGTCATGCTGGTTGCTTACAAAAAAAATTAAAAATAAAAGTAGTGGTGTTTCAATAAAATAAAATTAGGTCATGCTGGGTGGCTTATAAGATAAGTAGCTTGTCATCAAATTTTTGCAGCTGTTGTTATCTTTGTTTTTTCTTTATCTTAATGAACTCGTGTAAGGTATTGAACTTTATAAGATTGAACTTCACTACAAAGAGCCACATCCTAGTAAATGTAGCTAGAGATCTGAAAATACTGTTTCTAGCAAAAGGTGTCTTTTCTCGTTATAGCAACAAGTTATTTAGATGAGAAACATCAATAACATAGAATGAAGAATAAACAAGAGATATTAATGTCCTTCTTGTTAAGAAATTTTTTCTCCCACATAAAATTGACAAACATTTCTGTCCACTGGTTTAATAGCATTGTGGAGATCTGAAATTACATGTGACCTGTCTGTCAAGTATTTTCATTAGATGACTGGATGATCCCAGTTTACCACGCCTGTGCTTTGACAAAACAGAAAAATGGTGAAAATGAAAACAATTTATATATATATATATATATATATATATATATATATGAAAATGTGTTAACATCTTTTGATGTTCTTTTATTTCTTTCTGACTTGAACTTTCCCCCTTGATTGACTAACATTTTCAAGGGCACCCTCAAATATGGATAAAAAGTTTCCTATTAGTGAAAAAGATAATTAAGAGCTATTGTCCTGAATTTTCAGGAGTGCAGGCTAGGTTTAATGACTAGATGGGAAACCTTTTTCCTCAAAACAAATACTTAGGATGAATTTTCGGGAGTGCTGAATAGTTTTAATGAACTAGATGGATAACCATTGTCTTTTTAATTAGTGTTCTTATCTTAGGCGAATCTTTTCGCGAAGTTTGCATTAAGCACTAGAGAGGAACTGTTACCACCTATTGGTTGATAGAGAACATATTTAGATTGTATAAATGTTATAATTTGATGAATTCTGACATCTTTTTGTATGTGAAGTACATAGAGTTGCGATTGTCAAACTGTATACTTTCAATGGTATTTTATTGCTGTACTGCATTCTACTACCTGGCTCTTGGAGAGGTATATTACGTAAATTTTGGCTCAAAGTAGTTTCATTAGTACTTACTGATGAAAAAAGTACTACTGACATACATTTCTTACAAAAAAGAAATACTAATTTCTTGTTTTCCTACCCTGCATAACGTGTATGGCTTGCCACAGTACTGGAATCTATCTTGTTTATTGGCATGTTTATTTGCAGGATGCTGTTGGATCAGCAGTTATTTCAAATGATTCCCTAAGAAAGCATATCAAGTTAGATCTTCCTAAGGGTGACCAAGCTCTATCATCTGGTGTGAGTGGCTGTTAAGATGATAGCTAATTGTAAAACATAAATGCTTTCAGTATATCTAATTGACAAAATAAATTGTCTTTATACTTAATGGGAAGTCGGTGAAGCTAATAATCTTAATTTAACGAATTTATGATGAATTTGCGGCCAACTATCAGGTCGATCTCCTATAAATTTTCTTGATGGTTTATGGTGTTGGGATGGAAAGAACCTGATCCTGGTTATTCTCAGCAGCGATCTTGCACTCTTGAATTTGATGGTTCTTCGAAAGGTAATCCGGGACAAGCTGGTGCGGGAGCTGTGGTACGAGCTGATGATGGAAGTTTGGTAATAATTACTTTTCTTGGATTTGTATTTCCTTTTACTTATTTTCGGCGCACTTATACAACTTTCCGATTAATAGATTTGTAGGCTGCGTGAAGGTTTAGGAATAGCAACAACCAGTGTTGCTGAATATCGAGGCTTTATCTTGGGTTTGAAATATGCACATAGCAAAGGGTTTACAAGTATTCGTGCTCAGGGTGACTCCAAACTTGTTTGTATGCAGGTCCGTTGCCCATAGTATTTGTTTATTCTTGTATTTTGACTTCTTATTTCTTGATATCTACTTTCTCGTTTGTGTCTCTGCACAATCAAACATGTATTTGGAATTGTAGGTCAAGCAAAGTTTTCTTTCTTCTTTCAACTTCAGCTATATGAATGGGATCCTTATATGCATATTTTTAAGGTCAAGGAGGGCCTCTAAGGGTGTGGCCTAGTGGTCAATGAAGAGGATTGAGAACCAGGTCTCAGGTTCAAATCCCAGCGGATGAAAAAACACTAGGTGATTTCTTCTCATATATCCAAGCTTTGGTGGACAGAATTACCGGGTACCTCTGTGCTGGTGGGAGGTAGCAGGTACCGTATGGAATTAGTCGATGTGCGTGCAAGTTAGCCCAGACACCACGGTTAATTGAAAAAAGGTCAAGGAAGTCTGACAATTTTTTTGAGCCGTGGACCCATTTGTCAAGTCACTTCAATGTAGTTCTTTTGTTTCAATAGGATAGAGCTTTTATAATGTAAATAAATGACCCTTCTAGCATAAGGTAGTAATGATTAACTTGCGATCCAACTAAAGATTCTCAGTTGAAAAAGAGCGAAAGTTTGGTAAGTTTGGTAATGGGTGAATGAATCAGGTCTCCGTCATCAGTGTTCAGTTTTACCTAGTGCAAGACGACCTGGTTTGAGTATCTCAACGCAATGGGGAATCTTAACAGATGTTCCTAGACAAATAGTGGCTGCATGTTTTAGTGACAATGCCATTGATCTAGAGTTTACAGTAAGTTGGCTGAGTTGGACAAACCCCGAAAAGAGTGATTCCTTTTGCTGCTGGGTAAAGATAGAGGGAAAATGTAGAAGCTGGCAAATAGTTCTTGTCCATTCAAGAAGATTCTCTTAGTGGGAAAAATAGTCAACATACATTTGTTTTCTCTATGAACTCTTTAAAGTCTTTGACGAGCTTAGTTGTATCTCCGAGATGTTTTATTATAGCTTCTAAAGTTGGTCTTTTGACAAGGTGGTTTGCATTGGTGTCATCAGAGTTTATTTTATAGTTTGGTTTCTTATTTTATTCTTTGCTTTTATCTGCTTGGTTTTGATTCATTAAAGTGTATATCCTTCCGAACAGATCCAGGGTCTGTGGAAGGTTAAAAATCAAAACATCTCTACGCTTTTTCAGCAGGCAAAACAACTGAAGGATAGGTTTCTTTCTTTCCGCATCATTCATGTTCTTCGGGTAACCTAAAAAATCTTCTCTACCCCTTTATTCTTGGTTTATATGATTGTCTCACTTTATCAATCACAAGCTTATTATATAATAGCACCAAATTCGGATTAGAGCCCTCATTATGGTTTGGTCAATTACCTTGTTCTTACTTTGGTATTTTGGAGATGTAAAATTTCAACTCTCTTTTTGTTAGGAATCAAACTGTGATGCAGATCAGCAGGCGAACTTGGCTGTTGGACTTCCTGGTTAGAGTTTACATTTCTTTGCAGGCTTGGACTTGGTAATATCTGAGTGGTCATCAATGTTATATCTAACTTCCATCTTTTAATGCAGACGGTCATATTCAGGAGGAGATAGAGAAATGACAATGGGGCAGTCGAAGATGACTCAAAGGTGGTTCTGATGAGGATCTTTACGTGCTAACCACTGAGGTCTAGTGCTTGGCAGCATTCTGATTATTTAAGGTCATAATTTCCTATTTTGCCAGTACTACGTCTAACCTTAAAATGGGTTGCACGGTTAAGCAGGGGATTATGATAGCAGTTAGGAATTATGTAAATTTTTGCTGGATGTGGCTCAAAACAGGCACCAACAGCAAATGTTACTATCTGCTTTGAGTTCTAGCCGATGAGCACAAGATGTTTGCCTGAAACTCAAAGACCACCGAGGGAAATGATTGATACGAATCATATCGAGTCTCTTGTCCTTTCTGTAGCAGAACACTGGGCATACTACCCCTTCATTCCTCACTTATGCATTGCTATGACACGATGATTAATTTAAGTTTGTATTAGTATCGCAATATGCCTGTGACAAAAAAATTCGTGCATGTGAAAATCAAGTCAGGAAAAACCGTGTAACAAATTGGACAATGAATGTCGCAAGCTGTAGAATTTGTCTCAGGTTGAGAAGGTATCTATCGGTTCGTCTCTATTAATTGTTGATCCAATGGCTTGATAGCTTGATCTTGATTTTAATTACTTTAAAATCAAGGGCTTGAAGCTTGATCTAGCTGTACTGATACACTGTCTCTTTCCTTCTTGTGCCGAGGGTCTACGGGAAACAGCCTCTCTACTCCTCCGGAGTAGGGGTAAGGCTTGCGTACACACTACCCTCCCCAGTCCCTACCTGGGTTATTGCTGGCTTGAAGCTTGATCTTGAATTAGATTACAACCTTAAATGTGACTTTGATTTATTCATCACGAACACTTTGATGACCGTCATGAACAGTAGTTATGGATCAAAAGCCATGAACAAGTAATTTTGATTTGGAATGCCTTGATATTTGATGTATTGTCGTTCTTAATCCTTGTATACTTAAAACTTGTATGGAAATGTTTTTTTTCGATATATGGAAATGCTTCAACACTTGAAACTTGTATGGAAATGTTTTTTTTCGATATATGGAAATGCTTCAACACTTGAAACTTGTATGGAAATGAGTATTGAAACTTGTATGGGAATGAGTGTTGAAACTTGTATGGAAATGTTTTTTTTCGATATATGGAAATGCTTCAACACTTGAAACTTGTATGGGAATGAGTGTTGAAACTTGTATGGAAATGTTTCATTGCTTGCAACTTGTAGAATCCTTCTACTAGTGGGGTTTGGTATAAAGATGCAAGAGAGCCATAAAAATCAAGAACTTTAAGGGTGTGTTTGGTATAACGGAAAATGTTTCTTGATTTTTATGGCTCTCTTGCATCTTTATAATGATCCATTTGGCTTATGGAGGAGTTTTATTTATAGTTGTGGATAAACGGAGTTATGTGAGTTCCTCATTTGAAAACTGGCTAAATTAATTATCTTAATAAAATTAGATTTTTACTTAAATTCATCTAGTTGTGTTTAAATAATTAAGCTAATTATATTGGCGATGGTATTAATCTGAGATAATAATTTATTATGTCTTGAATTTAAAATATAGTCTAAATTTCATGAGTTTCAATACAATAACAACAACGATCCAATGAAATCCCACTAGTGGGGTCTGGGGAGTATAGTGTGTACGCAGACCTTACCCTTATCCCGAGGGGTAGAAAGACTATTTTCGAAAGACCCTCGGCACAAAAAAACGAGAAGGGACAATAAATTGAGAACACAACATTAACCACTAGCAGTTTAAGATAAAAATCCGATCACACTAGCCTCACATAATTAAGACCCTACCCTATAACCCTAATACTCGTCCTCCACAGCTTCCTATCAAGGGTCATGTCCTCGAAAATCTAAAGTCGTGTCATTTCCTGTCTGATCACCTCTTCCCAATAATTCTTAGGCCCCCTACCTCTTCTCATGCCTTCCAGGACCACCCGCTCACGGTCCTCACTGGTGCATCTGAGCTTCTTCTCTGTACATGTCCGAACCATCTGACCCTTGATTCCCGCATCTTGTCATTAGTGAGAGCCGCACCCACTTTCTCCTATATATCATCATTTCTAATCTTATCCATTCTCGTGTGCCTGGACATCCACCTCACCATCCTCATTTCTGCTACTTGAGTTTCAATATAATTACATTTACATTAATGTTAATTGACTTAGAGCATTATTTTCACTGTTTGATAATTTTATCCTGTTAGCTGGCATTGTCGTTAGTATCTTTTAAGCAGAGAAGAATTCTCACAAGGAAAGTAACTACACAGAGATAATAAGAACATTAAAAATGACACTTGATTCTTACCTTTTTTTTTTTGGTTTCTTTTCTGGAAAATTTTCTTACTCCTCTGACAAGTGACAAATCATGTTACATACACTTAACTTTTCTTCAAACGTATTGCCAAGAAAGCTGCGGAGCAATTAAATGTTAATTGGTGAAAAAGAAATTAAATATTAATTAATTATACTGCAATTAAAAAATTATTAAAAGACGAATTAGGAAAAATCAAGATTCAAGCTTTTTCCTGAATTTATTCACAGAAGTAGGGGAGTTGACTTTAAACCAATTCGAACAGAATCTAACCCGACCCGGCAATATGTCTGGCAGCAGTTTCCGGTAGTTACTTATCCCACCAGTTTAGCACAAAGAAGAAAAACAGCACGGCAAGCAAACGCTAGCCTACTTAGAGCCTGTCTGTGTGGAGTATTCATTTCCATTTTCTTAGCTTGCAAAATGAACAGTGTCACTGCTCCTAAGGCCAGTTGGCCGATTGTGCAGCTTCCTTCCCGATACTCTGATTCCAGAAATTTCCAGAATCGCAGCAGCATCCGCTTCTATGACTTCCATCACAAGTATAATCGGAATTCCAACAGAATCAGATGCAACCTGAAAGACAACAATCAACCGGAAACAAGTACTGGAATCCAGCTTTATAGAGATATTGAGAGGTCTGTCTTCCATTTATTCCTCTCAATATTTATACTGCAAATTGTAATTTCCTGCTAGAACATCCGGCTTTGTGGAAATTAAGTGCTTTGGGTATCCCTTCTGATTTTCTTTTTCTCCGATTCCGCTCCAATAGTGTTTCTAAAGGTGTAATTTTTGCCTTTGTATGGTTGAGTACTACAGTGAGCAAAATTGACATGCAATATTATTCCTATTCCAGTCCTTATTTCATCTCTCTGTCCCTAATAAACATCACAAATATAATATATATATATATATATACACACACATTATAGAGCTGCAGACCAAAATGATTGACCGAGCTGAATAGCTTGAAGGTTAGTTTTCACTGTGTGGCTGAGGTGATTGCCCAGTGGCAGGGGCGGCCTTTTCATAAAGCAACCGCTTTAGGTTCCACATTGTGGGGGCCCAATTTTTTGTTAAACCTAATAGGCTATATATAAGTTTTAGAAAAAGTTATGTGAAGTGAAAATGTTTGATTTCTTTCTTTAACAAATATAGAGAAGAAGGATTTGCAACTTATATAATTTTTGACAAGGAAATTGCATTTGAAATGAATATCGAGCCCGAATTTCGTAAGAAACGTGTGATATATAGGAAGAAACAATTTAATGAGAATATTGATAATGAAATCTCAAAATCTCCCGAAGAGTCTTTTAGAGTTGATTATTTTTATACATAATAGACAAGGCTATTTTTTACTTCAAAATAGATTTGAACAATTCGAAGCATATGAAATTATTTTTTGTTTTTTATTAGCGGTAAAAAACCAAGATCAATAGATGATGGAAATTTGAAAAAATATTGCTTTAATCTTGCATGTTCCTTAAAGTATAATAATCAATCTGATATTGACGGTTTAGATTTTTTTTTTGAATTAAAATTGTTAAGGATAATAGTACAATTAGGAGATAACAATCTAGTTGATATATTCATCAAATAAAAAGATTTAATTCTTTTTCAAATGCCTATATTGCTTATAGAATAATGTTAATAACTCCTGTTACCGTTGCTTCAGCGAGAAAAAGCTTTTTAAAATTAAAATTGATAAAATCTTGCCTAAGATGAATAATGTCTCGAGAGAGGTTAAATGAATTAGCTATATTATCAATTGTGAAAGTCTTATTAGGAGAAATTGATTATAAAAAAAAATATTAATAACTTTGCATCTAAAAGAAAGCTAGAAAAATAGACTTCAAATAAATAAATAAAAAATTTAAAAAAAGAAAGTTAAGGCTCTTCATAAAGTTTGGCTTTAGGCCACAAAGTTCGTCGGGCCGCCCCTGCCCAGTGGGACTAAAAGCTTTGACAGAAATCCTAAGACAAACCCCAAAAGTTGCCTTCTTGAAACAAGAAAATGCAGAACAAGAAAGAATAGATAAAAAGGAAAATGGATCGTTCAGACCAACGTAGCATTTCAAGGAAAGGCGGCATTTTGGATATAGCTAGTTTCTAAATAGAAGCTTATGTCTTACATATGGGTAATCAGCTCAGCCACACAAATGCTAAAAATGCACTACTTTTGGAGATTCCGACACGCATCCGGCCATATTTTCGGAGAGTCCGAGCAACATAGTAAGGTTCATAACCCACCTTCTGGATATCTTTGTGCAGAGACGGAGCTATTATTCTGCTTATGGGTAGGACAGAACCTAGTAGTTGGGCCCAAACCATGAACTTGTGTTAAAAATCCATTTAATATGTATAAATAATTTATCCAAAACCTAGTAAGCTGCCTTTTTATTCAGAACTCATAAACTCAAATCCTAGCTCCACCTTTGCTTATGTGTATTATCGTTTGTGTTAAAATCCATAGAATTGAGCTTACATTTTGGTAGTTTCTCAGCTATACATGCAGAAATGTACTTGAGCAATTGAGAGAGAAGAAAGGGGATAGCTTGCACAGTAAGCCAATCTGAAAATGAGAAATGAAAGGGTATATTTCATTATTGAATCAACTGATACATATATACAATTTACATGCACACGTGTCCAACTAATTTCCAGCTGTGAATATAACAACACTAACTGACTTAACAATAATTAACTGCTCAACTAACTACCTGACCCTAGTTAACTCCTAACATTGGTTAACTAAATTCAGGTTACACCAGTCTCAGTACTCCCCCTCAAACTGGTAGGTACAAAGATATTGAGTACTCCCAGTTTATACCAAGTACTCATGATGTTTCTCAGAAGTGCCCTGTTGCTCTTTGGAGCTTACATGATGTGTTATCACTAGTCTTTGCTGAATCTTCCCCCTTACAAAATAACAATCAATTTCTATATGCTTTGTTCTCTCATGATATACCAGATTTGTTGCAATTTCGTGTGCTGCTTTATTGTTACAAAATAGATCAATAGGCAGCCTTACATCTGCTCCCAATTCTTTGAACAGTCCAATCAACCATACGAATTCTACAACTGTCCATGTCATGCTCCTATATTCTGCTTCTGTTGAGCTTCTTAAAAGTTAAAATTGTGCTGTGTTTTTTGGACTGCCAAGATATAAGTGAGTTCCCATGTTTAACAAGAAATCCAGTTACTGATTTTCTTGTGTTGGAACATGATGCTCAGTCTGCATCACATTAT